CGGCCATGTTGGCGTCGTCACTGAGGACTCCGGGCGGGTCTGGTGTCGGGCGAGGCTTCGGACCTTTGACCTGTGGGGGGCGCCCTGCCGGGGTGGGCATGGGGGCATCTGAGGGGTGAAAGGGCCCCAAGGGGCAAGGAAGGCTGGAGGCTGGCGTCCTTCCCACGGACCGATGGCTGTGATCTCTCCGGCCTGGGGAGAGGAGGTGCAGGGGAGGAACTGAGGAAACCGGTCCGCAAGTGAGAAACTTTAAAATTAGGTCCTAAATGGAAAACACCGAGGAATAGAACTGCCCTGGTTTGCGAGGCAAGGTTGGAAGTCAAACTTCGTAGATGAGTCCAGGCCGCCTCACTACCTCCGTGAAAAGTTTTTTCCTAAACTAGGGACCTGAAGCTCTTGATGTGTAGTTTCCTCTTTGCCCAGTAGAATCCAGTGATCGCGCTTAGGTTTCTCTGCAGACCTGCACGTTACAGGTGGGAGGCTTCCACGCCTTAATGTTTCTTGTGTTTGTCTTTCTCATTTCCCCCACTCCAGAATTCAGAAGGAGCTGGCGGACATCACTTTAGATCCTCCACCTAACTGCAGGTGAGTTGCTTTTCAGATTTTTTTCATTTTTAAATTCTTATAACCATTGTCTTGGGTTTTTCTTTTTATTGTATACTTTTTCTTTTATTCTTTGGCTAATACTTGTTATGGCACTAACATCACGTAGCAGCTGAAATTTATTAATCTGAGTATAATGTTTTGATGAGCCTCTGACAAGCTCAGTACTGTTGAGGAGAAGTAATGGATTTATTTGGAATGGAGTTTTATATATATGAAACAAAACTAAAGTAAATTTAAAGGTGTATCCTTGCCTAATCATGGGTCTTTGGTATGCCATTAAGGATGATGCAAAACCTTTTAGATGCGAAGGACATTTTGGTTTGGAAAACTGCTTTGCTATAGTAATCTCTTACTCAATCTGTGCTAAGCTAAGAGAACGTAGAGTTAAACACTGGATCTTCAAAGACTCCGTAGCATATAGATTTTTAATTAGACTTTTGACAGAGCAATTCAGGAAACAATTTCTAGCTTTGATAAAGGTTTTCTTTTACATTGTGAGTTTAAACTCTTTCATGGGGGTGTTTTTTTCACTTGCTTTATTCAGACTATGTACATACGTGTGTTTCAGTTTCAAAACAAATTGAAACCAGCTTTCTAAGGGTTTGTTGATTGCAACTTTATTTAGAGAAGCCATTTTGCTACTGTTGAGTCAAGCTGGAAGACTTGATGACTTTACTAGATCAACAGTGAAGTGAGGGGTGACTTACAACTATGTATTAGAATAGAGCCATTCATTTAATGGAGGTCCTATAACTCCCATACTTTAAAAATTAAGTATAACATTTAACCTAGTTCTCAGGATCGGTGTTGGAAAGGAATGTGAGATTTCAGAAATACTCTAAACTTATTGGTAGGAGTAGAAGTTACTGACAACAAAGTATTCAGTGGCTGTACACAATTTTTAAGATGAGTGTGTGGGAATAGGTTGAAAAGCTAAATGAAATATTTTGTTTATTAACAGTGAACTTTGTAAAAAAATTAGTGGATTAAATACAAAACTATTGCCATTTTGGTTACATTCGTTCTTAATGGTGATTAGGTGTGGGATGCTTTTCGGTGAAACTTTGTCCTGTTTTGTAAGGAAAGTCGTTTTGAGTTTGATATGGTCTTAAACTATAGTTTATAATTGAAGCACTTAATCATTCTGGGGAATTCTTTCATGGCCAATAATCTCTCAAGATGGTTGAGAAGAGGAGAAACAATAAGACTTAGGCCTAACTCATTGTTTTGATGGTGGTGGTTCAAATGGAAGCCTGTAGCTTCCCTTGGTTGTTTGTGTGGAATCCGTGTACATTCCCCAAGGTAGATCTGTGCTGTCTAGTTATTGCTCCTGCGGTATTGTGGTCTCCTATATGTGTGTTATTGATAACATTGATTAAAACATATAATGACTTTCTTCTGAATAAGCACAATCAAATCTAAAATTATAAACCATTTGAAGATTTTCATGGGATTAATCATTTTAAAAAACAGCATAAGTACACTTAAGTTTCACATCATTTTAACTGAGTTTATGTGTGAGAGATTTATGCTCCTGAGGCATGTGGAACTTTTTTATCTTTGGGAAACCCTCCCAATTACCTCTTTAAGTGAAATGTTTGGGCATTACCTGTGGTCAGGGGATGCTCCAAACTGGGTGCCCGTTGGGTGATTGGTGTTAGGGAGACAAAGCTCAAAATACTAAATTTTTAGAAAAATCTCTGATTTCAGAGAAAATACGAGGCATCTTCATTTTGCAAGAGAATGTCTATGACATTGTCTTTTAACAATAAAGATGACTTTATTTTCCATTGGGGCCGTTTGAGTAATGTGAATTAAAATTTTTACTTTTGGTTGGCTTACTAATGGTGCTGT